ATTCCATATGAAATGTATATTACAAGTGTAGTTGACATTGCATATTACAAGTGTGTATAATTGTAATGCAGGCTCATACGAATGCAGATGATTCCATGAAGAGAACGATAATGACTTCATTTGGAAAGAAATGGAGAGATTGGAAAAGTCGAGTGAAAAATATAGAATACACACCCTTCAAAAATGATGCAGAAAGGTTGGCTCATCGACCGGATAGAGTACATGAGGATCAGTGGTGGGCCTTGGTCTACTATTGGGGCACTCAGAGCGCATCCGTACAATTTTTTTTATGTGAAAAAAATGTTTATATATGATAATTTTTTATAATATCTCAAATGAATTTTATATTTAACAGAAATCAAGCAAGAAGAATAGAAAAATTCAGAAGAAGAAGACACTACATCATAGAACAGGCCGAAAGCCTTTCTCAGTAGTTCGAGTGGAGGTATAATTAGACATTACATCTTGAACATATTTTGAAATTTGTTAAGTTTTTAAGTTAAACTTATAACTTAGCTAACTCAACTTATAACTAAACTAAATCAAGTTTAATATGTATAAGATTGAAAATTGAAACTTATTATCTTTAAAATTCATCTTCTCGTTTTTGTATTGGGGTGATTGAGGTGGGGGTAGAGGGATAGTGGTTTGTGGTGATGATGGAGGGGTGGTGTATTGGAGGTAAAAGGGTGGTGGTGGTGGTAGTTGTGGTGGCTATAACAACAGTGGCAATGGTGACGCAAATGAGAAGTTGGAAATACGATACTCTAATGTTTTGTTTTATTTATCTTTTATTTACAGGAGACAAAAAAGAACAATGGGGTTCCTGCTAGTCGGCCACAGGTGTGGATGGCCGCATACATGAAAGATGGTACTTCCAATAGTGATTCAATTAATGAAGTTATGGTATGTGATACTACTTTATTGGCCTTTTAATATGATTTATATTGGATGCTAATTATTGAATTCAAAATTGCAGACTCAAATGAATGAGCTGATGGAGCACATGGAGGGATCTTCTTCGGACCCTGCTGCATTAAATGAACAGATTTTCACACAAGTTATGGGGCTGGAGCGACCTAGTCGTGTTCGGACGTTTGGATTGGGACCACCCCCCACTGATGTTTTTAGAGGTAGATATAGGCAGTCACAAGAGCAGAATCATATCTTCCAAACTCGAGTTCAAGAACAAGTTGAAGAGCAACTTCAACGGTATCAAATGCAGTTAGAGTCGAAGATGAATGATGTAATGGAGAAACAAATTCAGGCTGTACGCACAGATTTTCAGTCACGAATTGAGATTTTGGAATCTCAATTGCAAGTTGCGGGCGTGCCCGTTGCACCAGCTGTTGCACCTTCAAACCCATTACATAGGCAGCACGTATTGTAATTATTTTTACTAGTTATTAATTTAAATTTCCCAGAGCTACTATACAACTTAAGCCTCTTATTGAATGATAGGTTGTGGATTCACTTAGTAGTCATCCCACTGTTCGGCCAATGTCACATCAACAACAATCTCATGCATTTTCATCCCAAGAGGTGAGCAATCATTTAATCAAAGCTTTTTTGACAATTACCATATCTTATTAATTACAATACTTGTTCTTATTAAATATAGGTTCACCTTTCAAAGAAGAGAAGAAGAAGAATAAGAAGAAGAAGAAGAAGAAGAAGAAGAACTAACAAGGTAAAAGTACTAATATCACTAGTTTTTAATTTCTCACTTTTCTAAATCTATTAAGACATGATGTTCGCTTAATGTTTAATAGTGAGTCAATTCAACAAATAAAAGAATACTTGTTAATGCATTAAGAATGTTAAACTTGCTTTGCCGATAGGTATATTTTCCTTTTCTTAAAGGTCATCTGTGATTTGTATGTGAAATATAATATAGTTTGATCTACATTGCAAAGTATGCTTCTTCTTCTTTTTTAACATTCATAAATGAATTTCTATGGTTATGTGCTATTTTAATGTCCCTCAATTGAGTAAAAATTTGCATTGCCCTTGTAGATTATTGTGTAGTTCAATATTGTAAATGCGCATAACATGTGAAAGATGACTATTTAGGGGAACAATAAGAGCATATTATTGTACGGTACTATGCATTAATTGATGTTCCAGTAGTAGATTAAATTTAGTAACCTTGGAATCGATTCTTAACTATGTTTGCTTAAGCAGGCTATCTCATTAGTTGAGCTGGATTGAGCTTTGACAGTAGGAGATATAGCTTTTCATTCTCTTTATGACACTTTTTCTATATTTTTTACTCTTTTTTTACTATATTTCTATTATTTCTAGCTAACTGGTTTCCTTACTCTGTCCAAAATTACAGGTTATAATGCATGAGTGTAGCTAGTATTGATTGTTCGCAGTCCTGAATTCTGTTTGATGCTTGAAATTTGCATAACTATAGCCTTTTCTTTTCTTTTGTTTTCTGTGTGTGTGGAATATCACTGCTTCAGTTTTTTTAACAGAGCTACTGTGAAACATTAACCTCTATACTCTCTCCTGTATAGTGCTTGACATTGATAGGATAAGATGTTAGCATATATATATATATATATATGTCTGTCAAACCATAACTGTCTGCCGAAGATGAAGTTGGGAAAATGATCCCTCTCCCACAGAAGTGTTATCCAAATATCACACACTGACGTGTTTCATGAGCAAAAAAAACATAGCGAATAACAAGGGAGCAATCTGTTAGAAGTACGGTAGTACACATGATGTGATGAAATATTTGTTGAGCAGGTGAAACTTGAAACTTGAGTACTCATCCAAAATAAAAAGAAGATGAAACTTGAGTCTCTAGATGTTATCGTTAAGACATGATTTTTGGATTTTGGATATGTTATGTTAGTTAGTTGTTACTGTCCTGTAAGAAAAATCTTGATCATGAATGTGATGAAGCAGAAGACTTAACGGTTGACCCTTTTAAAATTTTCATCTGGAAGTTTGGAGTTAATGTATCTGGTTTAAGGATACCATATATTTTGTGAGAAGAATACCTCCTTCTTCCTCCCTCCTCTCATACGAATGCATGCTCACACACTTTCTTAATTATGTTACAAGTTCTTACCTGTATGTATTAGAAACTACTCCATGCCGCATTGATGGTTCTCTTACATCTTGCTTTTTATATGTCTTGCATTACTAGTTCTTACCTGTATGCCTTAATTATGTTACAAGTTCTTACCTGTATGTATGTATTAGAACTTCCTTGCAGCTTCCATGGTGGGCCCTTTCCCTGCTTTGTCTATCAAAAAGAGTGCACTCCATCTTTGTGCTTCTTTTCAATGATTGCTTTGCCACGACTCTCTTCCATGCTGCACTGGCCTTATTAACCAAAAGTGGCATCTGGTTTTGATTATTCAACTTCCATAACACTAAGATGGGTTTGTTTTGACTTTTGTCATGATATTATTACAATGGAGTTGTTTCGATAAAGATGAATGTGCTTCTTTATGCTCCACCTTTACTATTACTCATGTTGAAGGTACATCAATCTGTGGCTTTATTTTTTTGAAAAAAATAATAGTATATTTTAAGAATGTTATCTGGTTATAGCATATAATTACTGAAGCAACGATTTAAAAAAATAATAGTATATTTTAAGAATGTTATCTGGTTATAGCATATAATTACTGAAGCAACGATTTACATAGTACAGGCCATGGATATAGCAGGGGTGTTTTTGGCTTTAGCAGGTGCTAGTTCTTACATTTTCTGTTTTTGTAAATTGTTGTACATCATAATACACAGATGCACGTAGAATGTATTAATATTAAGATTTTTATGGGCAAACCTGAGTCTTTTGCTGCATAACGCATCTGATTGCTTCTTTTTGTGCATGATTTTTGGATTTTGGATATGTTATTTTGTGGGTACACTACAAGAATTAATACTTTTGGCAACAAAAAAATTGATCGCTAAAAGTCAATTTTTGGTCGGCAAAAGTTATCCGCGACCAATTTTTTTGGTTGCTACTTTGGTCGCCAATTGAGGGTCGGCAAAAGTAATTCGCGACCAAAATTTTGGTTGGTCGGGAAAAGTCAGATTTGCCGACCAAATTTTTGGTCGCGAAATATATCATTACCGCGACTAATTCATTTAGTCGCTAAAACACTTTGGTCGCGAAAAGTGAAATTTTCCCGACCAAAAAGTTTGGTCGCCAATTGTCACATTCAACGACCAAAAATTTTGGTCGCCAATCGTGACATTCCGCGACCAAAAAGTTTGGTCGCAGCAAATCTATCAACATTTCGGCGACCGAAAAAATTTGTCGCCATTTGTTACTTTTCGCTACCAAAAACTTTTGGTCGCAAAAGTGAGATTCCACGACCAAAAATTATCGTTTTGGTCGGCAATCAGATGATTTATTTTTTGCGACCAAAAACTTCTTGGTCAGGCAAATTGCCATTTATATGCGAAAAAAAATTATTTATTTGTTCGCGACTAATAAATTGGTCGCCAAGACAGAGAAACAATACACCTGTAATTCGAATAATAAATTCATAAATCAAGCCATAATAAACCTATAAATTTTAAAGCAATATCATTCAATTAACTGATCACACACTTAACATTCACACAATATATCCACTCCATCTACTAGGAAGTTTCATTTCACGAAGTCAATCCCATTCTCGGCATAACAAAATATTAAACAATAACATAATTCAGCATTTACAGCAATACAGAAAAATTGACTTAATACCACTAAGTTATTCCTTGATAGCCAATCAAAAAGATCCTTTCGGCGCTATATATACCGTGGCAAACTTCACATCCATCAAAGCAGTAGTGTGTTAAGACACCTAATAAAGAAACTGAATTGGAAAATTTATCAGACAAAGCATGATTAAAAATATAGTAAAATTAATCCTAAAAATATTAAACGAAAATAGATAAATTGGAACCCAAATAGTCGAGCAAGATCATCTCTTGACGTATGTGAATGTATTATAAATATCTCCACCTTTAACTTGGTTTTTTCAAAACATAGTCGAGGCAGAGGTTTTCTGGTACAAAAATAATAGAGGTACAGAACTCTCTGTGTCCATTTGGACTACCAGATGAGGTTCTACTGGTTCTGATCGATTCCCCTCTCCACCTTGATCAACAAAAGAGAGATAATACCGGGAGCTGTTTGGTCTCACACAACCTTTTTTAACTTCTCTGCAGCAACTCTTAAAGACTTCCACGGGTGGACAATACCGCTGACCAGGAACCTGTTTAAAATGAATGTGAGGAAACTCCAATCAAATTACATAAACCAAAGCAGATAACCAAGCTTAAATTCAAAAATATTATGATTGACTCATGAACACTATTAAATGATCTCAGGTATCACACGTCAATTCAAGCTATCCCACTTGAAATTAATAAGAAAATGGCAAGAGCACAAAAGTTGTGCCACTTTCAGTATAATGTATTCTCCAAGTCAATTTTTACAATATAGAAAACCATCAATAAAGAGCTGAAAACCCAAGCCATGGTTAACTCTCAATAAAAAATTAGAAAATCTGGAGAATCAACACCCATCTGGTTCACATGGTTCTTTCTTATCCATATAAGCACCATAACATAATATAAGGGAAAGAACTGCTAGTGACAACCAATGCATTCATAGCAGAAGACAAAAAAAAAGTGCAGCAGCAATTGCTTAATGCTATTTTCATATGTCAATAAATCAGTAACTGGCTAACAAAAAAGTTGGCGAATTGTCAAAGTCTCTTTGGCTTGAGAATCAAAAGCTGGGTTGTCAATAAGAGCATTGACAAAAAAGAAAATGCCAATGCAAATGGTCTTCAACATTGAATTAGTCTTCAACATTGAATTAGATGTATACATTTCAATCTTAGTTTTTTTTCATAATAATACCATAGTTTTCTTTCAGATATCTAAGATTGAAATGTATACATCTAATTTATAATAATACCATAGTTTTCTTTCAGACATCCAGTCTTCAACATTGAATTAGATGTATACATTTCAATCTTAAAAATTATAAGAAAATGCAAATGGCAGGAAAACAACAACGTTGAAAAGTCCCATTATTTGATTTCACACACACACAAAACACAAAAAAAAAAAAAAAAAAAACACACACACACAAATTAAAGAAGAGAAAATTACGACAAAAACAATGAAAAAAAAACCATAAAGGCTCTAAGCTTCTTGTTTAATCTGAACTAGAGAAAATGGGGCAGAAAACAGAAACGAAGCATATCCTCTTACTCAAACTAGGTTCAACCAATCCCATGTAGATTTCAAAAGCGTTACTTGTAACTGTGTTTCCAAGCAGATCCTTTTACTTAAGCATACACTTAATACTGACTGGGAAAGTCGACATCATTCATGTTAACAGTTCATTTTCATCAGTTTCTACCTACTCACCTGATCCCTTCTAGGTCTTTGTAACAAGTTTCTAGTTCAACAGATCAATATGGACAGAAACACAGCCAACATGTTTTAGTTTAAGAAAATGTTTGAGCCCTAAGATAATTAACCACTAAGGAAGAACATACAGGCCAAATAAGAGTATTATACCTTCAAAGATAGCAGAAGAGTAATTGTTTCCAAGCTGTGCTGGCCCCGATCAACATAGTCTCCTAAGAAGAGATAATCGATATATCTGATAGTCATACATGAAATTAGCATCATGATAAAAGGGTGGGAAAAAAATTGCTAGTAATTGCATAATCTCACTGAAGGACCTAGAAAATGCTTTAAAAAGGCCAAACAGAAGTAATCACTTTCATTAAAGAAAAAAACATAATACGCAGACAGTAGTCACAGTCCGATCCCAGTACTTACACTAATGACAAAGGAGGCACCAAAAATTTTTGTCAAAGAGAAAGAGAAAGAGAAATAGTCGCAGTTAAAACTAATGACATCAAGTGCTTGATGAGTTTTGGTCTTGCATTCTGGTTACTTTTTATTTATTTATGACAAGTTGAAGTTAGCAAAAAAGTGAATACCTGCCAATATGCATTTAGACATTTTATTTAGAGACACGGTACACTTTCTTCCCAAAACAACAAACTTAGAGAACCAAAAACCATTCTCTGACTTCTTCCCTTATTTTCTCTTTGTTATTAAACCAACTATATATATACATATATGTAAATTACATTGGCCTACCCTTAGGGATTGATGCAGACAAAGCTAGAGCAGCATGCAGGTTACATGACGATGTGGCTCCAAATTGATAAAACTTTTGGTACTTAGTGATGGAGTTATTTCTTTTAGTTGTTATGATAATATCATGTCTCTTTCTCTCCCTCTCTTGTCAATGCAACTTATCCAGGTAGTTCATGTGGGAATTTATTTCCTCTAACAACCCTCCATGCATGCTATAGTTGCTCCAGGCTCAATTTAGAGCTATTCTCTTCCAATCAGTTGTCACAATTATGGTTGGTGCCTAATTGAATTAAATGCGTAATGATAACATATTAATAACATCTTACACCTAATCTGGTGGCTCACCTTCTCCAAGTAACTGGTAATAGATTATAGGCCCAAAACATGACACTAGTATGACTGTTGGGCTGTGGTATTTCAGGGTTTTGTAGCTCAAGGCAAATCTGACTTGCCTGTTCTGTTTTGGTGCTTGAAGGGATGCTCTGATATCTTATCTATTTTGATATGTTATGCTGCTGTGTTGGTTTTAACAAACTTGGGGATTGGTTTGGATGAAGGGCTGCTACAGGTCAAGGCATTGTGTTTGGTCTGACTGTTGGGCTGTTGTAATTCAGGGCAATATAGCTCAAGGAAAATCTGATCTGTCTGTTCTGTTTGGTGCCAATAGGAGTGTTGTTTTGCCTGCTATTTTTTGCCTTTTTTTCTGCTTTTTGTGGTTTTTTTTTACTCTGTTTGTTTTGCTCGTTGGTTTCTCACCAACTAGGAGGTTGGAGCTTGACTTATCTCGAAGCTCCATTTTATTGATGTATTTCTTCATATAATTCATCAATAAAGTCTTCTTTTTGCCGATCAAAAAAAAAAGAAGGACCAAGTGAGACAATGATAGGCTGTCAAAAACATAGAAGAGATGGGAGAGGAAGTTGACATAGAGTTTTATTCTTAATAATCTCTCAGGTCTCAGCCAATAATCCTTTGTGAATTTACAAAGGTATATTCTTGACACTGCAGAAATATCTGAACTAGAATTAATTTATAATTGGACTCTACCCTCATTAACATGTACACACTTTTTCAAGAGAACATGTGATAAAGCATATGTCAAAAGAAAAACAAGACAATTTACAAAAGTTTCATAGTCCATACCTGCAAGGCATTTTCATGAAATTCATTGTGCACCTGCCTCAGATGTGATCTTGGCAACTGGGGAAAATAAAAAGCATAAATCACTTACATACCAAACAGGAAAAAGGACCTCAAATACTAGAAGAAAGCTGGCAGTATAAGAGTGTTTGCAACCTCATCACTACCCTTTTGTGACAACATTACCAGTCAAAAAAAAAAAAAAAAAAATTAGCACAGAGGTTGAAAACATGAAAGTTAATAATGGTGTTTCTGTTGCCCCAAGAAGAATGCATCAATTTTATAAAGTTAATAATCACTTATTGAATAAAACTTTCAGCTTCCACTTTCATCGTTCATGAGACGTAAGACTTTACAAATTTTGAAAACTAGGAGTGACAGAAGTCTAGTACATCACATTATGCTTCTTTTTATCAGGCCTTTTCTTTCTGGTATATATATCTACCAATTCACAAAAATCCTTCTCATAAGAAGATGGGGATGATGTTCTACTATGCTTTACCTGTACATATCAAAAAATGAATAGGAAAGATTACTGCAGGAATGAATAGATGGATGCACACATGCCCACACATGAGTCACCTTAGTTTCAGAAAATTTATAGATATTTATGTATAGAAATTCTGGAATTGAAATACCCAAGGTCTAGAGTCAAAATGCAGAAAAAATCATTAAGTGCTACTTTAAACTTCTTATTAATGCATAAAAATGCAATAAAAGAATAAAAACATACCACTATTCCAGAATCTGCCCATGACAAGAGACTTTCCACTATTCCAGACTTGGACACTGCAGGAGAAATATAGACATGAAAAAAATAAACTAGAGTTTTGGTGAAAATAAAACAGGGTTTCGAACTAGACATGAAAAAAAAATCACTAGACATGAAAAAAGGCATAATAATGGGCTATTCTTGAAAAATCACTAGACATGAAAAAAGGCATAATAATGGGCTATTCTTGAAAAATCACTAGACATGAAAAAAGGCATAATAATGGGCTATTCTTGAAAAATCACTAGACATGAAAAAAGGCATAATAATGGGCTATTCTTGAAAAATCACTAGACATGAAAAAAGGCATAATAATGATTAGGTCCACATGCAATCAACACTGAAAAAAAATCACTAGACATGAAAAAAGGCATTGCTTCTATGAGAAATATAGATATTTGGAACTATTTTATTTTTCTGGTTATAGAACAGGGTTTTGGTGAAAATATTGAGGGCTATTCTTGCATGTAAGCTATAACTGGCAATAGTAAGTTTGCTATTTTTCTGGTAAGAGAGAAAAATGAAGGAAAAAAAAAAAAGATGGAAAGAATCTAGGAATCTTGACCATAATATTTTAGCAATCAGACCCTTGACATTAGGCTACATCACAAATGACTCAAACTCAAACCCTAAATGTTTGTACCCTTTTCTTCAATATTACAAGAAAAAATACATAATAATGGGCTGCTGGAGTTTTCCAATCATTAATACGATTAATACTAATAATGGGAAGCTGAATGACTATTGGAAATCTCTCTAATGTTACTAGAAAGATAATTCCTACATTCAACCAGTCAGGACCAATGTTACTAGAAAGATGATTGTTTTGGTATGTGGAATTCTAGTAACCATGGCTAAACCTCAACAAGCAGGTCAATATACCCACTGAAGATATTATATCATGTTTCTCCTACTCAATGCAAATAACTAAATACGGTCTATTGAAAGATGATGGAGAAAAGCTTCACTCTCAAATACCATGAAAGACAGTAGAAGAGAAATCAATAATTGAATGCCAAACCCTGCTGCAAAGCGGGAGTCTTGTGCTGAGTACGACCATTATTTAATTGGCAATAAGCTATGATCTAAATATGAATCAACCACTAATTTTCTTTTTTTCATTATTAATCAAAGTTTTTGGTACTTACTTGTTAGGGCATCGCATTAAAACGTAATATATTGGATCTTCTGAAGATTCTCCAATTGACAATTTCAACAATTGCAAAACAATGTAACAACATGTTGTAATGCTGTAAAAAAAACAAGCAACTTCACATCAAATCTGTAACAAAGATCTAGATTTCACTATACATGGTGGCAACTCATTAACATATCTAAATAAAAATTATAAAACTACAGTGTAATCAATTCCTCAAAACATATATTCAGCTGACAGTCAAATAGTTTTTGAATCTGCAAGAAAAACTAGAAGAAAAAATGCACGTAGGAACTTTAACTGTAAAGTATTTGGATAAAATAACAAAGATTTATTAATGCATGTTTAATAGTGAAAATGAAAATGTAATGTCAAATCAATTCAAATTAAAGATAGAAGATTTCTATATTAGCACCATATCAGAACATTTAGCACCATATCAGAACATTTACTAGGGGGAAAAAAGGATAGAACATAACATAAAATTGAAACTAATTTCTAATAATTGGAACAAATCGATGACTTAAAAATGCTGAAAAACATCAACTCTAAGTAAAAATCTCTTAATGGTTCAGCACATAAAGGGTAAAGAATAGACCAGCATGACAGAACAACAAAATAAATGGAAAAAAAAAACTCTGAAGTTACAAACAAATTGCATGTAGAGCAAAAATAGTGTCGTGAAAATGAAAGGGTGTGTATAATACACTTTTAAGTTGCATTTTTGTCCTCCTTTACATTTTACAATGTCCCAAAACAGTTGTCCATTTGAACAGTCATGGTACTTTAATTACTTATCCAAAAAAAGGGGGCTCAAGGTACATAATCTTATGTTTTTATAAAATTATCCCTTTTAAGATGAGTGTGAATGAATCTACTAGTATGTAATATAGGGATAGTTTAGAAAATTAATGCTTTACAATTTGAGTGATGCATTAAATTGTTGTCTCCTTAAAAACTTGGACTTCCATAGTGGAAAACAAATATGGGATGGAGAGAATAATTCTTAACCCAATGGAGATGAGTGCACAAATAGGATGAGGCAACTGAAATGTGTATTATATTATGACTTACAAGCAAGTGACTACTTCGTTGAAAATCTAACAAGAGGTTGCAATTATGTTTTGATATGTTGAAAAGAAATGCAGAGGAAGAAAACAACTCAGGGCAACCATACCTCAAGTTCATCAACATTTTCCATGGTGTCAAAGGTTATATTTGCAAGAGTGGTGGATAAAGCTCTACCAAAAAATGCTTTCATGCGAGCCTCAATTGGATCTGACCAAACAACAAGATTGGTTAGAAAAGCATTAGATTTAACATAACATCTATAAACTTTCAATAGCAAATAATGAACAAGATAACTATTGTTACTATTAGAAGTCATAACTGCCAAAGACACAAAAGGACAGCCCATGTATCACAGCCTTGCAATTTGGGAGGCCATCCCTCACCAGAAGGCTCTACAAGGCACTTGAAGGCTCTAGAGGTTAATGGAACTTTCTAGAGTCCCCTAGAGTCTTGCAGACAGATATAAAGACCTGTACTTAATTCTAAACATATAGATAGTATTCATGTACATTCTAGAATAGTCTATTAGAGGAGGTGGGAGTAGTATCTACAATACTCTTAATCCTTTGGGTTTTGGGATATTCTTTGTAAACCTATAGAAGGGGAGGGCCTCATTTGCCCAACCCATCCAAGGAAATCCAAAAGTAATACAAGATCTCTTGCATTCACTTAATGGAGTAAACTGATCCAGTTGGTCCTTATATGATTGCAAATTTTAACATTGCAAAAGTCCAAACTTTTGAATTTACAAAGGTCTAGTTCATGCCCATGCATTATAATCAATAATTTTACATCAGCAATTCAATTACCATGTTTCCATGGACTGCTCACAAGGCCAACAAACAGGCGGTGTTCCTTGCATACACTTGGAAAATAGAAATTGTTTGGACCTAACTTAATCTGTCCCTGGACATGTCTAAGAAAATTTGAACCTCCTATAGGAATGCAGTATCATCTTATCAAAACCAATAGTATTACTCTCATTAAAAAATTACCTAAGCACTGGCACAATAACCAGGCTACCCAGCAAAACAAGCACCTAATTAGACCTTTTCAATAACCAGGCTACCCTCTTGAAAGCCAGCAAAACAAGCACCTCATTGGACCTTTTCCAAGGAATCCTTCAACCAGAATAACAGTTTAAGTGTTGATTGAAAATCACATTCACATGTTTTGTAGTTCATCAAAAACCACCTTGCTCAGCTAGTGAAAAGTTGACTGATATGTATCTCGGGGTCGAACACATCAAATCTCTAAATAAAGGATACGTGGACTTGGCTAGAATTTATCCAAAAATTAGATATGGGTATGTGGATACAACAAAAAGTATTAAAAAAGTTAACAGGTGTCTCTTCTTATTATGATTTTTTTTTTCTCCTTCATCCTGTATTTTTTTTGGGTGCTGAATCTGATTTTTTTTGTTATATTACTGCGGAATTTTGGTTTGGACTACGTGAAACTGGTTGGATTAGAGTTTGGTAATATGAAGAACTCCAAAAGCAAACCCAATATATATTTTCGTTATAGAATTATTGAGGCCCAAACACAGTGATAAAGTGTGTGTGTCTTCTCTAAAATAAAATCAAATACTTTGGGCCTAATGATCTTTGCCATCTGCCCCATGTGACTGCAGCAGCCTACTAAATGGATTGATTAAAAAAAAAAAAGAAGCAACAATGGCTTCTTCTTCAATCGATTTACTTGACTGATTATTGACAATAATCAGTCTTTACCATTATCTCAATTCCACCAACAAATATCGATTTACTTAAAGCATAGAGAAGCATAGAGAGAAAGAGAGAGAGAGGGAGAGAGGTACCGGAGAGCTCCCATGGGGGTTCGAAGCAGAGAGAGAAAGAGAAGACAGCGGCGTCAATGTAGAATTTGAGGAAGCTGATGATGATGACGAGGTGGCTGTGGTGGTGGAAACCCTAGCCTTCGGTGACCCAATCGAAGCACAATGTCGCGATTCACAATGGAAACCCTACCTTGCGAGTGGGAGGATTACGACTTGAAGACACTGAGAGAGAATGGGGGAGAGCAGAAATCGAGGCCAGCGTCGGGAGCGGGCAAGAGGGAGGGTAGAAAGAAGAACAGAGAGGGAGAAGAGAGACAGAAGGAATGGGAGGAGACGAGTTAAACCAATTACCCAATCTGGGTTCGATGGATGCATCAACAGTGTGAAAATAGAAAATACCCCAATCTGGATCTTTTCTGGAATTTCAATTCCCGCCCCAAGTTTCAAATTTCCCCCAAACTTTTTGGCGAAAAACCCAAACTATCAAAAATTAGTCGCAAAAATAGCGTTCTTTTCGCCGACAAATTTTTTAGTCGCCAAATCTCAATCAACGCGCGACTAAAAATATTAGTCGCTTAAAAGTACTAATTTGCGACTAATTTTTTTGGTTGCTGAAAATAAGTTTTTTCGCGACCAATTTTTGGTCGCCAAAAAATATGTGACCTTTCAGCGACCAAATTGTAGTTGATCGGCAAAAGTATACCACTTTCTGCGACTAACATATTTTTTGGTCGCCAAAATATACCTTCTGCGACCAATAAAATTGGTCGCAAAATTTAATGAATCAATTCGCGACTAATTAATATTAATGGTCGCCCAAATGTCATTTTTATGCGACCAAAAATTTTTTTAAGTCGGTTAAATGGATCGCCAAAATGTGTAAATTCTTGTACTTGATGGATAACTCTTGTCACATGGTCTTTTTAACTTTTTTTCTTTCTTTTTTTTTACGACCATTTAATAGGAATTTTAAAAAAATGTCAGCTCTATCATCAGGATAATTAATCGTGAATAACCAGAAAGAGCAAACTATTAATAAGATCTTCTCTCTTTTTTTT